CGGCCAAATATCTAAGCTCGATGCCGATAGATCTTTGCCGCAGCCATTTCATGCACTAATGATATTCGGCTTTCCCGACGCCAATCGATCTGTGCCGCAGCCACTCCATGAACTAATGATATTCGGCTTTCGGAGTTCATACATTGGCTGGGGTAAGGGCAGATTTATTAATATGATCGGCCAAATATCTAAGCCCGACGCCGATCGATCTATGCCGCAGCCACTCCATGAACTAATGATATTCGATTTTCGAAGTTCATACATTGGCTGGGGTAAGGGCAGATTTATTAATCTGATCGGTCAAATATCTAAGCCCGATACCGATCGATCTGTGCCACCACTCCATGAACTAATGATATTCGGCTTTTGGAGTTCATACATTGGCTGGGGCAAGGGCATATTTATTAATCTAATCGGCTATTCGACGAGGATAAATTACTAAATTGCCTAGTTATCTAATCGACAACTGTACACGAATGTTTTATCCAAGTAGCAAAAAGCAATACCATTCATCAATAGCAAAATTAAGCACAAATAATAGCAAAGTACAAAGGAAATTTTCATTAGTAAATTGGACACAAACTGTAGCCATTTTACATATGAAAACTACTAAACAAAAAGTTTCAAGTTCGCATGGAAATGCCTAGCAAAAACTTACAAACTGTAGTCATTTTACACATAAAAACTACTAAACAAAAAACTGAAACAATACATTCAAAATCCTTAAACAAAAACAACTAAAATGTCGCTCTAATCAATCCTCAGAGTCAGACTCCAGCGGCTCAACATCCACTTGCTCGTATGGAATCGGCATAGCCAATGTCATATTAGCAGCAACAAGGGCTTTGAGCCAGCCGTGTTTGAATCCCCGATTTTTAAATTTGGGGACTTCTTCCACATAATTTGCGAGGGCAGCGCTTTGCTCAGCCTCGTACGCCTTGGAAGCCTCGAAGTCAGCTACTTCTTTCGCCTTCTTCGATTATTCCAAGCCAGCCTCCAGTTTGGCAATCGCCTCTCGGTCTAACTTGAGCGTATTTTCGCTCGCGTTTTCCCTCTCCTCGGTGGCCAATCTGAGCTGGTCTGAATTCCTCACCCTTTCTATCTCAGCCTCGGCCCTCGCACCTTCCATCTTCGCCCCTACTGCTTTGAACTCGGCCCTGCTCCTCTGGCCTTCAACTTCTGATTGTAAACGGCCAATTTGTTCGATGGCGTCATGCTGCCGACGGCCTATCTCGGTTATCCTTCCAACTGTCTATAAAATAGGAAATTAAAACCAGCTGGTCTGAATTCCTCACCCTTTCTATCTCAGCCTCGGCCCTCGCACCTTCCATCTTCGCCCCTACTGCTTTGAACTCGGCCCTGCTCCTCTGGCCTTCAACTTCTGATTGTAAACGGCCAATTTGTTCGATGGCGTCATGCTGCTGACGGCCTATCTCGGTTATCTTTCCAACTGTCTATAAAATAGGAAATTAAAACCAAAACAATATATGCATAAAAGGAAAAGACAAGATCAAAGCATATACCAGCAGAGCCGATTGAGCGGCTAATGCTATTGCCAACAGATCCGGCTCTGCCCGGAAAGCTGCCTTGTCAGCCGGCAATGAGTGTGACGAAGCCATGCTCAACGCCACGGCTGGGTCTTTCATAGCCGACACGTCAGAGGAGATCGGCATGTTTTTTATCTTTGGTTGAACGACAAAGGGTAAAACCACATCCGACTCCTCTAAGTGCGGCCGTTTGTCAATAGGGTTTTCTTCAGAGCTGGCCTCTACCATGGTAGGACGTTTCTCCACCCTTCGCTCAGCCTCCTGATTTGCCTGCACAACCATCTCCGACTCGGTATTTTGGGTTTGAGCCGTCTCCTCCTCGATAACAGGCAGGGAGGTCTCAGCTTCGACGGTAGGTGGCACTTCAGATCGAATGGCCTCTGCTCTCTGCCGCACGGCCATTCTTTCCACATTTTTCTTTTTGGCAAGTTGTGTGAGTGACAACCCGGCCATGTCTTCGGGGTACGCGCTGGGAAGGTCTTCTAAACCAGTAAAAATGTTATCGAATGGAAGGTCCCCTCGGCCCGAAGTGGATAGAGGGTTGGCTGAATTGAGACCGGCTTCCTCAAAGGCCAACTTCAAAGCCTCGTCTACTTCAGCTTCGGGCTGGTCTGACTCTTCAGTGACCTCTTCAGCTACTTCCGCCCGCTCCGAGTCGGATCTGTTTAAACCAACTTGCCGCAAGTTTTTGAAGTTGGTTAAAACAAGAGCCGTAAGAAACTCTTCACCCCTCGGAATCGGGATGTTTTCTGCCGCCAAAAATGTCATATACGTTGGCTCGTATCGAAGGAGAATGTGGACCGCCCTCCCTTGTTTCTGAAGGTTTGGACGGCCGAAGTATTTGAGCGGGACTTTAATTTCCGTAAGAACGGCATCGTCGGTTGAAGTCAAAACTTTCTTCAAATCGTTTCCTGCGCAAGCAAAACCATGAGACCGCAAAAATAAAGCCTTGTAAATATAGGAAAAACAAACGCAAGGAGCTATATGGCCACCTAATTCGCCCCTCCGTCTAAGAATAGGATCTAGGCAGTCCTCGCCTTCGCCGAATTCCTAGTTACCTCAGACAACGACCATGACATCATTGACTCGCTTCCCAGAGCTGGAAAGCATAGCCACTAATCGATGGTCGGTGTCCTTGGCCCTAAGGAAATAGCGTCCATGCCGGCCAGAAGACTTGGCCAAGGCATAACAGTGCTGAATAGCAGGTATGCCGAGGTTAATCCTAAGGCGACGGTTAAACTCTATAATCCCCATTACGATTCTAAAAAAGTTGACATTGGGTTGGGAAAGGATTAGACCCCAATGGCGAAGGACAGCCCTAAAGAGTGGGTGAAGCGGGAAACGGACTCTGCCCTCCGCAATTGATAAGAGAGGGAAGACGATTGTACTTTTATCAACCCTCTCCATATCAAGGGACGTCATCAGGGATAGAAAAATGACGTCGAAAGCCAGAGACTCGATCCGCAGAAAGGAGGTCTTTCAAATGCTTTGCCATTTTCGTCAGCCTATAGGAGTATGCTAAACTAAAAACAAACCAGGAAAAGGGATTCAAAGCAGAGAGGAAGAGAACTTACAAGAGACGGAGAGGACAATGAAGGATAAAAGGAAGTTGCAGAGGTGAGTCGGAAGGCAGTCCAAAAACTTCAAGCATCCAACAATGTGTATGTATTTAAAAAGACGACAAAATTTTAAATCACAATAAATGGAAGCGTACGATGGGGCGGGAAGTTGAAATGATGACCGAAAGGTGTGTGCTCTGACATCCGCGTTGGAATGAGGTTAATCGCCGAATTTCGACTCTGACTTTTCGAGTTCGAAATCAAACACACCAGCTAACTGTCGTTAGTGGAGTGTTTGGGGGGCAATTATGGGGGCCGAATATCGGGAGACGTAAAGAGGCTGAATAGTTGGGCTGGGAGTGTCAAAATTCATATATCGCATTCAGCCCCGTCTTATACACAAATCCAGAGATACCCTATTCGGTCAAATAACCAGCTGAGTAAGGGGCTGAGTGAAGAGTGGCTTGCAACAAAAGGAGCCGAGTAAATAGTTATACGACGAATTGAAGGTGGGCCCAGCCCTGAAGCCCAAGAAAGAAAAGATATAAATAGAAGAACATCATCCAGAGAGAGGTATGTGAGAATTATTATGCTTAACTTAAGATACAAGTAACTAAGAGAGTATACACTGACTTAACCGTCGGAGTGCTAATTCTGGTACCCCCGACCAAAGTGTTTATTCCTTTTCAGGTTGTTAGCTGAGGATCTCGAGCGTCCCAGTGGATCAAAAGAGTATTTCCAAACCACTTCCCCACAAAAGTGATCTCCCTGTCCGACTCGTACATGGCTATTTGGTGGTAGCCGCGCTATGCATCTAAAAAGCTGAACCTTTGGTGACCGGCAGTAAGGTCCACCAGCTGGTCGATCCTTGGGAGTGGAAAGCTATCATTCGGGTAGGCATGGTTGACCGTTTTGTAATCGACGCATACCCGCTACTTCCCATTTTTCTTCGGCGCTACCACCATATTAGAGATTCATCTAGTGTATTGCACTTCTTCTATTGCTCCAGTTGCCAGCAAGTTTTTGACCTCCTCGGCCACCACCTCGATATGGTGCAGGGTCGAATACCGTGTCCTCTATATGACTAGTCGTGTGTTTGGAAAGACATTCAACTGGTAGCAGATGAAGCTAGGGTCGACGTCAGGCATATCGTAAGGTGTCCACGCAAAGACTTTAATGTTGGAGACCGGGAAGTTGACATAGTGCATCCGCTTGGTGCTGGACAATGATGAGCCCAAGAAAAAGAATTTGCTTAAATTATTCTCATCAATCCGAACCTCCACCATGTCTTCAACTGATTTCACTTTGGCTTTTTTTCCCACATCTTCCAGGACTTCCTTTTTTTTTTTTTCCCTTTCTATCATTTGGAGAAAACCTTTGGCAGCCCAGGTGCCATTTACTGCGACGAAGCATTGCTTTGCCATCACTTGGTCCTCCCAAACCTCTTCGATTTGCCCAGCTGGAGCAGGAAAGCACATGACCTAGTGATAAGTCGACGCTACTGCTTGTATGGTGTGCAACCAGCCCCTCCCCAAGATCAGGTTATAGGTCGATGGGACCTTCAGCACCCAAAACTCCACTTGCTTTGTGACTAACCCAGCCTTGACCGGCAATATGATCTTTTCGATCATCTATTCTCGTGAAGAGTTGAAGCCGACCAAAGGAGACGTCGCTGGACCAGGTCTTTGTTCTCCAACCTCATTTGCTTGAATGCATCGTAGTACATGATCTCGACCAAACTGCCTTGGTCGATCAAAATTAGCTTGATGTCAAAATCCTTGACATGAAGCGTTACTACCAAGGCATCGTTATGTGGGGTTTGAATTCTCTCCAAGTCCTTGCTTCAAAAGGTCAAGATGCCTTTTATCTCGGTCTTTCCTTTCTTTATGGCGGGTTAAACAGAGAGCACTTCCCTTATGTGCTCGGCCCTCTTGATCATTCCCCTGAGCTCGCAAACCCGCGCTGGCTCGATGATACCATGAATAACATTGATGACTCCTTGGGGTGCCGCGTCCAACATGGCAAGGCCATTTGGTTCGGCTTGTCCTTGCAGAGCGGCCCTTATGCCTCCATAAATGTACTGATCCAAGTGCCCAGCCGCAACCAGCTCTTCCAAGTGTTGTTTCAACAGCACGTAGTCCTCCGTTCGGTGCCCCCTTTCTTCATGGAAGGTGCAGTGGTACCTTGAGTTGAAGCCTCTCTGTGTATCTCCCAATTTTGCCGGCCAACGAATGTATGGCTCACCTCGGATTTCACTGAGGATACGATAAATTAGGATCTTAAAGACTGTGGCGATGCTAGTTTGTGCTTTTAACTTTCTCATGGCATCTTCCTCTTCATTGCAAGGAGCATTAGCTCGGTCATTCCCACGGCCTTTGTTTCTGTCGTTGCCGCTAACACCGCGATGTTGCTCTCTAGCTCGGTTATTAGGGCGGTTATCCTCCTGTCTCATTGAGTGGACCTTCCTTGCGACACGTTTGTTTGTCGCAACCGGATTTACCTTCTCGGTCGCTGTGGCGGCATTATTCTCAACTCGAATGTGCTCGTTGATCCGTTGTATCAAGGACTCCAAGGTTGTGGGCTGATGCATCGTGAGCGAGTCTCGCAGCCTATGCTCGACTGGTAAAACCTCGCTTGTATTGGGCGATCGGCAAATTGGTGGGGCGATCGAGGATCTCATTGTAGGTCTCCCAATACTTGGCATTGTATGCCTTCAAAGAACCACCCGACTTCATCTTGATACTCAGGAGGTGGTCGACCTCCTTCGGTGTTTGAGTATTGGTCTTAAATCTGGTGACAAAGGCCTCCGCTAGTTGTTGTCACCCCTCGATACTCCCCTCCAAGAGTCTTTCAAACCACTTCAAGCTCAATTCCCCCAAACTTCCTGGGAATATGAGACACATCATGGCGTCATTGCACCGTGGCTAGCCATTACTTGTCGGTAATGACTAACGTGTATATACGGATCCGTCTTGCCGTCGTACAACGTGAACTTAGGTTAATGGAACCTGGCAGGGAGCGGTGTGCTCTCGATCTCTGGAGACAATGGGGTAGCAGTAAGTCTTGCCAGCTCTCTATCCATCGGTGCTGGAGCCACCATTCTAGGCGCCGACATGGGTACCTCCTCACTACAACAACTTTGGGAGTTCAGGCTTCGCAACGTTGGCACTCTCTAGGCCTTTCTGCGACGAGCTTGATCCTCCAGCACATCCCTCAGATCTTGCGAATGGGCGGAGTAAGAGTATCTTGATGTCATCAACGGACGTGAGGGATGGTAGCTGCTGTCCCGCATGTAGGACCTTTCTATCGGTGCATTGGAGTCGCCAACTCCGTAGGCTCTGGTGATGGAGAGTGAGGGTCTCCCCCGTTGGTGATGACTGTCAGAATGATGGGGTTTTGATGAAATCACTGTGGTCGCCCACTCTAGCAACACCCTTCCCTTTGATTTGTCGCTTCAACGTCTGTATTTCAGCCGACATCTTTCAAATGAGGGCGCCTTGGTCTCTGAGTTTGTTCTCCAGGCACTGAGCATGCGATTCTACTCGCCGTCGGCAACCCTTAGAACTCTTTGAATGGTCAGTGCTCCTCGTAAGTTTATCTCGTGCATCCTTGGGCTGCCCTCTAGAGGAGGTCTCCAGGCTAGCCATGGATGGAATGGTGAGATGGCCATCTCTCTGCTGGACCGATTCTGGTGTGATGTCGTCAACGATGGACAGCAGTGTTTTGTCATTGTTAGCCATGAAAAACGGTTGAAAAAGCTTGGAGAGCAAGGTTTGCCTGTCAACTATTCCCACAAACAGTGCTAATTATACGGGGAGGAAATATTCGTCGCTCTCCGTACTCCTTGAGTCGAAGCCTCACGTAGCGTCACTTAACTTGAGAATAGAAAGATGGTGAGTTTCCCAGTGATGTGCTGTCGAATAAACCCTCTAAAATCAAGTCAGCATACTTGGAGAAGAAGAGAGAAGGCAGAGTACTTTCTAGAGAGCGAGTATATCAAAAATAGTTTGCCTCTAACGGTTGCATGCTCCTCCTTTTCAAGGCTGACCATGCAGCCTCAGAGATTGTGGGTGCACTACCTCTGCCATCCTTCTCTGGACAGGCAGCCGTGCTCCCTTCTACATTTCTTACACGTGTAGAGACCAAAACCTCCAAATAGTGTTTGTCGAACCGCCAAACAGTATTGACGCATACTAGGAGTGGATTTCCCTCTTTTTACCACTGGACCATATGGCATATTGAACCAAGCTATTAATTGGTGAGACATGAACATTATGATGGATAGCCACTGCCGAGCAAAACCAAACCGGTCCGCCAAAACCGAGTAGATGCAGGGCGCACCGCTCGGCATCTCGGCCTTGCACCGCGACATCGTGGATCGTCTGTCTTCACAACCGCAGTCCAAACCGTCTACAACTCGGCTCCGTTATAAGCCTGTTCGGTCAAGTCTAGCCCAACATCATAATCCGCGTGGTTCCACTCGGCTTGACATCGTGTTCTGTCTCAGCTCGGCCAAATACATCTCGGACAATCCTAACCCAGCATTCTACCATATTCAATGCGGATCTAATTTGGCTTTACAGCACCCCAAGCTCTCCTTTTGAGGCCCAACACCATATTCCGTATTGGTGTAGCTCGGCCCATTGTTCGACACAAATCTCCCTCTCAGTAAGGATAGCAGGTTGCTTCAAAATTAGTATAACAACTTTATTAAAATATTTGGGTGATTAGAAGATATCCTTTTGTGAATTGTTTCTTGTTGTATTAGTTCTTATTTTCATATGTATTCAAACTAAGCCTTGATTCAGTTGTATACGGTGAGGAGTTAAAAGATCAATACAATATTATTTTTCTTTATGGGGCTGGTACTGGACTTTGTTGCTCCTTTTTGTCCTTTTGAATTGGCTGTTTTGCGAAATACAACTAGACAGAAGTACAATTGTTCGAGAACAAAAAGTCTGTCCACCTAGACAAATTTTCTCAAATTTCACATATAAGGTGGACGTTTGCTCTCCTTGTGAGGCCAGGCCATGAATGATTCTTGGCCTTGGATTTCATATTCTGGGTATTTTTTGGTATTTTTTTTCTTGATAGATAGATGTGCTGGCTTGAGAAAGTCTGGTGATGACAAAAAGTTTTATTTTATTTATTTATTTTTTTTTGAGTAAGTACTTAATTTGTGCTATGGTGACAAATATCTTTGTTAATACTTTGTGGTATGTAGAAGAGTTGATAGCTGCTTTTTTAACAGGAGAATTATACTTGCGGTATATATCTATCTATGATGCTTTGGTTTGCCAAGGCTTGCTGTTTTGTTCTTCTGTGCCCAAACTGTCCCCCATTTGTCTGAAGAAAACTGCTGTCAAATGTCTTCTATCTCTAGCTGATGTATTTAGAACAAATTATAAATATACCCTTACGATATGTTTAAAATATGAATTATTTCCTGGATTGTTACAATTCTAGAAATTTTAAATAATTATTTTCTCAGAATTTTAAATTATTGTCTTCTATGTAATAATAAAATTATTAAAATTGTTAATTGAAATATATTTATGAGATTATTAAAAGTTTTAATTGACTTGACGATTTTAAATAAAATGAATTATTTGTTATGCGATTAGAAATTGAAAGGACAAAATGTAATTTTTAAAACCACAATAAGCCATTGATTTTTTAAACAAATCTCAAAGAGTGTGATTGTAATTTATCCATGTACTTATCTATTTAATATAAATAAGGGATATTTTATGATGAATGTGAGATGAAAGGAGTAATTTGTTGTTACTGATTGTAGACACCCCATTTTCTATCATCCTCAAGACTTGGATGTTCTTGCAGGTATATCCAGTGATGAGTTTGATTGCTCGTCGAGCGCTAGAAATTTGAGGCGGAATGCCACAGGTTTGAGCTTTCCAAACCCTGCATCAATTCTGTCTCATTTTTTGACCATGTTTAGGTCCTTTCAACATGATGTTGTTGATGCACTGCCGACCATGTTTGGGCACTGTCGGGCATGGATTTTGGCCTACCGGCCATTGATGTGCCCTGTCGGCCATCAATGAGCCCCTACCGGCCATCACTGATGGCCAGCCGGCCACCAGTGTATCAGTAGATATTTTCTGATATTTTGTGCTAGCTGTTTGCACAGATTGAGCCATCTTCTTGCATGTGTATTGCTGGATCTCTTTGAGGGGATTTTACATTTTCTATATATAGAGGCCCCCTCTTGCATGTGCAAGGGTTAGAAATTTTTGAAGAGAAAAAATTTCTCTCTCTCTAGAATCCTCTCTCTAAATATTTTGTGTCTTATAGCCTAAATTCGCTACACTCTTGCATATAAGCCCTTGATCAAACTTGATCACCATTGAGTTGAGGTTGCTTGAGGTCCTATTTGAGCTCTAGAAGAGGACTTTGGCTTGGTTTGGCTTGATTTTGGTGCCTAAATTGCATCTTGTCTCCAAGAGGTAGAATACTTGTGTTTTAAGCTTAATTTAAATACTATTTTGCAATCTTTACATACTGTTTTGAGGCTATTTTTGACCTCTAAAAATCTCTATTTTCATGATCTAAAATGGTGGTTTGAGGTTTGATTGGAGTTAAGGGTAGTCTACCCTTCTTGTTGTTTGATTATTAAGTTGTTGTGCCGTCTTTCAAAGCTTTTAAATCAACCTTTTTGGCCCTTTTAACCACTAAATTTTAGAGGATTTTTAGTGGTAAAAACCATGTTTTGAGGTCCAAAATGGGAGGGGGTAGCCTCCCCTTCTTGTGTCCTGTTTGTAAGCCTAGATAGCTTAACATGTGAGCATGATTTTCTAGCATTTTGTTCCTTAATCTTAGAATGTTTTTGCTACTTTTTTTGGCTAGTTTTAGCTTTGTTTTGAGCTGGTTTGGTCACTTGAGGCTTGCTTTGTTTGCTTGTAGTACAATTATGCTTAATAGTCTAACTTGTGCTATGTGTTGGCCTCCTATCCTAGCTATTTTTAGCTTACTTTAAGGATGTTTTAGAACTCCTTTTAGGCTATTTTTGGAAATTTTCGAAGTGTTTCTACCTTTTGAGCTTTGTATTGCATGCCTATAGTGTTGTAATCTTCACTAGTTTGGTGTTTTTGGCTTTTAAACATGTTTTGCATGAGTTGCTTGCATGTTGTAGTATCATTTTGCATGCCATTTCAGCACTAAAATCTCTACAATCTCCCTCTATTCTTCACTCTTCCTTTTGTTTTGAAAGTGGCTTTGAGCCTCTTGTTGGCTTGAGTGTGGAATTGAAGATTGAGATTTGTGCTTAATGGTTTTAATCCTCTTTTGAGGGTTTCTATTAACCAACAGCATAATCTCTCTCATGCCTTAAATCATCCCTTGGTTGACACCTCTCACATTAGAGGACTCTTACCTTGGACTTAACCGGTTAAAGAATGGATCGGTAATTAAAATGAGTAAATAAAACATGACAAGTAAAACTTGAGCAAGTTAAGCATCTTTCGTGTTGCATTGCACGTGTTCAATCAGACGTTATATTGAGCTTAAGGAAGATTGGAGCATTTCATACTCAGTGATGAAATGAGCCAATCTCCTTTGTCTCCATTGCCTTTGATCATTCATGACAAGGTAGTGGTCTAGAGTCTTATTTTGTGCATTTATTGAAATTATACACCTTGGTTCTTTGACCATCATGCAGCT